TTATATAGCTCTGCAGGTATAGCATCTGGGCCCGATGCTTTATTGTTTTTTTCCAACAAAATTAATTTTAGCATGGAGATAAACAAAACTTTTCATTTAGGAGTTCCGGTTTGTAAGGCTTCGGTGGTGGCAGGAATCCGTGATCGTGCACGGTTCCTGCTGCGCTCACTACTGGAGTGCCCCTGATGCAGCTGGATTTGGAGGCCATGGTTACCCCGTAGAGGTAAGTGAAGATAGGGGAGATCCGGGTACGAGTCCGGGGGTATCGCAACCCCTCTCCTCAGCCGGCTTAACTCCCTTTTCCAAAGGCGGTGGAGCAGCGGTCAGCAATGGCCGCCACAAAGAAGCTTTCAGCTGGACAAGAATGTGCAGGAGGAATTCTGAGAAAGTGAAAGTTTTTGGCTGAACCGGGACAACAAGTAACATCTAAATAACCTGGAAATTCAACTTTTTAAACAATACATTGTTTCCTAAGAAGATCGTAAAAGCGGCGGATGAAAGTGAAAAGGGAAAGTTTGTTTTTTCTCACTCACTTTCCCTACGGACATAGCAGATGGAAATCGGAAAAACCTGCTTTGGCACAGAAGGTAATTAAATTTGAAAATTAAAGCTGAGGGGATATTAAAGATTTCTGAACATTGGAATTAAAAATTAAAATCTTTTTGCTATAAGTGGGAAGGGAGAGGTAAAGAATCCATATTAAGATTTTGCTGGAGGAGACTGCTTGGAGCTTATAAGATCAGAGACAAATGGCAATAAGACTTCTAAAAAATTATTTTGGAACTGTGTAATTGAATTCTACCCCAGGAAGAGAAAGTATAAAAAGAAGAAAGTGCTAAATGAAACAGTTTGTGCTGATTTGGATTGCTTTGTGACTTTGTGACTTTTGGAAACTATTTTTTGAAAGACTAAAAACATTTGGGTTGTTTAAAAAGAAAACCTCATAATGGCATTATCTTTTGAAGAATTGAAAATGGAATTCAAAAAATTAAAAGAAGAGGAACAAGAAGGCAAGGGCTCTTCTGGATCTGTTTTTTACTTCTTAGAAATGGCGATTTCTACCTATCAGGAATTACAACAACAAGAAAGCTGGGATGAAGAAGAAGAAGCCATCTTTAATAGACAAATAATTTTAGTTGAGGAAGAAAAGGGAAAGAGGGGAAAGAAAATGGAGAACTCAAGATTTAAAAAAACAACAACCAAGAAAGGGATAAGGTGAAAAATTGATACAATGTCAGAAAGCAACAGAAAAGAGGAATACAACAGAGAGGGGAGCCCAAGAGGGCGGAGATTGAGATATGGGGGGTAAAAAGGCTAGAATCGACAAGAAAGGAAGGGAAAAAGGGAAGAGAAGTTATAAAGGCTTAAAACAAGATGTTAAAAAACTGGGTTTTTTTAAGAGACAAAGGGTAAAATACAATTAAAAGAGATTCTGCAAAAGTACATAAGATTGTATTGTAGTATTTGTATTTGAAATAGAGTTAGAAAATTGGAATATTATATGAGTTAACAATATATTAAAGGGAATATGTAAAATGTCTAAGATTCAATAATAGAATTTAATTTGCTATGGAACATTGTTTTTACTATATTATAAGCTTATTATATTTTTATTCTAAAATGTAGTATGTAGAGTGTATTAAGCAGAATCAGCATGGAAATTATATATTATTTTAAGTGTTAAATTTAAGGGAAAGATAAAAAGGCATCATACTTCAACCAGTGATTACAGGAGAAATTTTGTATTAAAGAGAAAAGATAAATAGATAATTGAAAAAGAACGGACAAAAGATGCAAGTATAATGATTTAAATTGAGATGAAATAAATAAAATAGAATTAAGAGAGTGAAAAGAAGGGAGAAAATATATTAAAAATATAGAATGTTAAATAAGATATGAAATAGTATATAAGGTGAGCATGAATTTGATTTATGTCTGTACAAAAAAATGTAACCCGGGGTTAAGCAGCTTTCCAAAAAGAAGTTTTATGTTTTTATGTTTTGTGTTTTCTTGGTCTATGTTTGCCTATTGAGAATTAATAAAATTTTGGAAGAATGTTGGAAGAGAACAATGAAATTGTAAACAAGACAGATGAAAGTATAAGTACAATGAATGAAAAAGATATAGAAATTTAGGTAAAAGAAATATAATTGAATAGAAGTAAAGGGAGAAATAGTGAGAAGTTGGAAAAAGAGTAATAAGATATGAAGTTGAATACATAAGATAAATATGCATATCAATTGTGTTTGTATGGAAATGTGATAATCTGGAACTATGCTGTACTCAAATAAGATGTTTTATCTGTTTTGTTAAAACTCAATAAGCAGCTTTTAGAAAAGATGTTTTACGTTCTTATGTTTTATGTTTTGGTTGTTTGTGTATTGTCTTTAAAAATTAATAAAATTTGTTTTTTTCTAAAAAAAAACCTTTACATTTAGACATGAAAATTCAGAGACAGATATGGTGAGACCTTGCTTATAGTAACTGTGAAGTCCTTGGAGTCCTACTGGATGATCATTTGAATATGAGCCAACAATGTGCAGTAGCAGCCAAAAAAGCTACTACAATCCTAGGTTGTATAAATAGAGGCATAGAATCATGATCACGTGAAGTATTAGTGCTCCTTTACAAAACCCTAGTAAGACCATACCTGGAATATTGCAATCAATTTTGCTCACCATACTACAAAAAAAAAAAAAAGATGTTGACACTTTGGAAAAGGTACTAAAGGCCTGGGGACTAAACCATATGAAGAATGGCTGCAAGTTTTGGGTCTGGCTAGTCTAAAGAAAAGAAGAATTGGGGTGACATGATAGCAATATTTTAGTATTTGAGGGACTGCCACAAAGAAAAGGGGGTCAAATTATTCTCCAAAGTACCAGAAGGCAGAACAAGAAAAAAATAGTTGGAAACTGATCAAAGAGAGAAGCCACCTGGAATTAAGGAGAAACTTCCTAAAAGTGAAGACAATTAACCAGTGGAACAGCTTGTCTCCAGAAATTGTGGATGCTCCATCATTGGAGGTTTTTAAGAAGAAACTGGATAGTCACTTGCCTGAGATGGTATATTTATTTATTTTATTTTGTCAAGTGATTATAAGATAACAGATAGTATAAGCATGTTTATGAATACATGAAATTGAGTCATACAAGAAAAAAAAAGAAACAATAGGACAGGGATGGTAGGCACATTGGTGCACTTATGCACGCCCCCTACAGACCACTTAGAAAAGGGGTGAGGTCAATAGTAGACAGTTTAAGGTTAAAGTTTTTGGGGTTTGGGGAAGAAACCACAGAGTCAGGTAGAGTATTCCAGACATTGACCACTCTGTTGCTGAAGCCGTATTTCCTGCGATCAAGTTTGGTATGGTTTACCTTGAGTTTGTATCTATTGTGTGCTCTTGTATTGTTATGAAGTTGAAGTATTCATTGACAGGTAGGACATTGCAATATATAATTTTATGTACTATACTTAGATTGGACTGAAGGCGTTGTAGTTCTAGGTTGTCTAGGTCTAGAATTTCAAGTCTGGTGGCATAACATGCAACGAGTAGAGGAGTGGAGAATTCTTCTTGTAAAATATTTCTGGACTTTCTCAACTGTATTAATATCAGATATGTAAGGCAGCTCCAGACTGATGAGCTGTATTCAAGTATTGGTCTACCAAATGTTTTGCATGCTCTAGTTAGTAATGTGATATTACTGGAGAAAAAACTACGCAGGATTAGGTTAACAACTCTTAATGCCTTTTTGGCTATGTAGTTACAGTGGGCTATGTTAGGAATGTAAGTTACCTAACAGTTGGGTTGGAAAATATATAAACCAGGATAGACATTTTAATACTGTCTCTTTAAGGGAATGCTAAAATTGTAATTGGGTGTGGTTCCTCAAATGGCCCTAAGATGGAGCCAGAAAACTGGGCTGTCCTGTTGTTGAGAGTGTTGCCGTTCCTGCATTTCCCTATTGACTGTTGCTGATTGGCGTTATTCTTGGATTTGATGTGAGTCTATTTACTGAACTGTTTTTGATATTTGGATTATCCCTGGACTGAAAACTGACTGCTTTAACTGTGAATGACTTGGACTGTTTGTTAGACTTTGCTTAAATGTTTATTGGAAGTAAAAACCTACATTTTACTATACAGTGTATCAGTGTGCTGGTTGTGTGTTATTCTTCACCACTCTCACTACCTCTCCCTGTGTGCGCTCATTCTCCTAACAGGGAATTACGTCAACAGGCTCTAGCACTTAGTTCATTAGAGATGAGTACTCCAAAGTCCTTGACAGAGTTTAGATCATCAACAAGGTCTTGACTGTTAAGCTTATATTTTATTTTCTGTTTTTCTTTTTGCCAATATGTAAGACAGAGCTTTTTTTGGTTGTGATTTGAAGTTTCCATTTGTTTGACCATTCTGATATATAGTCGAGGTCTTTTTGAAGGGTAGCAGTATTGTCTGTGGTGTTGAATAGCTTTACATCATCAGCAAAAAGAACACAGTTGCTCTTAATATGATCCCAGAGGTCATTTATGTAGAGTATGAAGAGAGTTGGTTCTAGAATGCTGCCTTGGGGGACACTACTGTTGACAGGTACAGAATTTGATAGGACACTCCCAATTTTGACCATTTGTTGTCTGTTTGACAGGAATGCTTCTATCCAGTTATGCAGGTGTCCATAGGATTTTAGTTTTAGAAGTAGTTTGTCATGTACCACTGAATCAAAGGCTTTACAGAAGTCTATGTTAATTGCATCTATTGCTTTGCCCTGATCGAGTTGTGTAATCCATATGTTTTTGCAATGTAAGAGTTGCAGATTACAGGATAGTTTTTTTTGAAGCCATATTGTTTATTAGAGAGTAGGTTGTTTGTCTCTAAGTGGAGGACAATGGATGGTTAATAATTGATTCCATGACTTTACAGGTGAGGCAGCATAAAGAGATTGGTCTGTAATTTTCAACTAGGCTGGGGTCTCCCTTTTTGAAGATGGGGATAACCGTGGCTAGTGACCATAGTTTTGGCAAGGAGCTGGTCCTGAACGATTTTTCAAAGATTATGCTTAGAGGTTCGGCTATGGCACTGGATAGCTTTTTTAAGAAATAGGCATATATTCCGTCCGGTCCAATAGATAGAGATGGTTTTAGATTGCATAGTGCTTTTCAACATTGTCTTCTGTAAAATCGATATGTATTAGATCATTGTAGTTGTCTGTGGTTCAACAAGGAAATACTGGGCATGATCCATTGCTGTTTACAAATATTGAGCCAAAGAATGTGTTAAAGAGGTTGGCTTTAATGGTGTCATTGTTGTAGTCTTTAACATTAGGTCCTTTCAGATATAGGTTCTACTGCCTGAGCAGACGGCTGGACTAAGGTCCAAGGTCCCTTCCAGCTCTGTTCCGTTCTATATTGAGAACAGATGTTTAACCTGAAATCTACACTGAAAGCAGTTGACCATTTTTCTTTCTGTTTTCCCAGTGGCAGAAAGGAACCAATATTGTTTTTGAAATAGAGGTTTTGGCTTCTAGGACAAAGACCATGGTGTTTCTCCTGCACATGCATTTGATGTACATGCTTCACAAATTGCTTGAACACCATACTGTTGAACTGTATATTGTATATTATGTATATATAATAATAACATATTGAACTGGAACATACTGATAGAAGGGTACAAACTGTTTCAAAAAAACCCATGACCCCATAAAAGAGGAGGTGGAGTTGCACTTTATGTAAAGGACCACTGTATTGCTACAGAAAAGCATGAAACCAAAGACAAAATCCTCCTAGAATGTATATGGGTCAATATAAATAAAAAAAAAGAATGACATGGTCATAAGTGTATACTATAGGCCATCCAATGAAGCAGAAAAAATAGGTATTGTTTTTACTAACCAACTAACAAATATATATATATATAGGAAACACACTACAATAGTAATGGGGGACTTCAATTACCCTGACATCAATTGGAAGACTAATTCTGCACCAAATGAGAAATTAAATAGGTTCCTAACCAACCTAACTGACAACTTTGTTGTCCAAAAGGTAGAGAAAGAAACTACCAGATACAGCCATAACTGGATTTAATTCTTACAAATAATTGATAGATGGAGTTGGGTGAGAGTGACCATGTCATATTAAATTCAACATAATCCAAACACAAGCAATAGAACATAATAACACCAGAGTCTTACATTTTAAAAGAGCTGATTTCAATAAACTCAGAAACTTAGGAAAGATTCCTTGAATGAAAACCCTAAAGGGGAAAACAACTCAAGAATCTTGGGAAACTCTGAAAAGTACGATCATAAAATTCCAGACCAGCACAATACCACTGAGAAAGAAGAACAAGAAATCCAAGAAGAAACCAGCATGGCTGCACAAAGTTTATCTCTGACAAACTGAAAGACAAAAATGACAAGGACAAAAAATGGAAAGAGAGACACACAACTAAGCAGACTATCAGCAGATAGCCAGAATCTCCAAAGATGAAGTCAGGAAAGCAAAGGCTCAGAATGAACAAAGATTTGCAACAAAAGTCAAAGATAATAAAAAAGTTTCTTCCAACATATAAATAACAAGAAAAAAAATCAAGGAAACAGTTGTTCCATTAAAGAGAGAAGATGGCAAGAAAGTAACAGGCAACAGAGAGAAAGCAGAGCTGCTTAACTCATTCTTTGCATTGGTCTTCACACAAAAAGACATTATAGCCCAACCTACCAAAAACTTAACTGTAAAAAACAGAAAGGAAATAAAAGTTAAAATAAGCAAAAAAATAGCAAGAGAACACCTGTCTGATCTTGATGAATACAAATCACTAGGATCTGACGGATTACATCCCAGAGTTCTAAAGAAGCTGGCAGATGTCATCTCATAACCACTGCACCACATCTTTCAAAAATCCTGGAGCACCGGGAAACTACCAGAGGACTGGAAAAGAGCAAATATGGTTCCCATCTTCAAAAAACAAACAAACAAAAAAGACAGACCCAGGAAACTATACACCAATCAGCCTAAAATCAATACCCGGGAAGATACTGGAAAAGATAATAAAAAAACAGATCTGCCAACATCTAGAAACAAGTAAAATAATAACTAGCAGTCAGCATGGGTTTGTTAAAAATAGATCATTGTCAAACCAGTAGACCAGTGAAATACTGTGGACATAATATACTTCGACTTCAGCAAGCTTTCAACAAAGTAGACCACAACCTACTTCTTGGTAAGTTAGAAAAAAAATGGGATAGATAGCATCACTATCAGATGGATTCGCAACTGGCTGACAAACCATACACAATGAACAGTCCTTAATGGGTCTAAGTCTACATGGAGGGAAGTAAGCAGTGGGGTGCCACAAGGTTCCATCTTAGGCCCAGTACTCTTCAATATCTTCATTAATGACTTAGATGAGGGAATAGAAGAGGAAGTTACCAAATTTGCAGATGATACTAACCTGGCAGGAATAGCTAATATCCTAGAAGATAGGCTCAAGATCCAGATGGATCTTGATAGACTTGAACACTGGGCCCTATCTAACAAAATGAAATTCAATACAGAGAAAAATAAAGTCCTACACTTAGGCAAGAAAAACCAAAAGCACACATATAGATTGGGTGAAACCAGGCTTAATAGCAGTAACTGTGAGAGAGATCTTGGAGTATTAGTAGACAACCAGCTAAATATGAGCCAGCAGTGTGCAGCAGCAGCCAAAAAAGCTAATGCAATCCTAAGTTCTGCCAAATTGCTTTTCTATTATCATCCCGAGATACAGTTTTCTTGTGTTTAACACGAGCATCATCGTAACCACTTCTTTACTATAGGAACAGGTCCCATTCTTGCAGAGGTAAGCCAATTAGACTGATAGTTAGGAGGTTTGTAATATTGGAAACTGTAAGGTGACTTCTGCCCTCTGAACATATTATGTTCATCTGCGAGAAGCCCCTTTCTGCCTCTGCTGAACTGACTGCAACAGTTTTAATAATATCTCTAGCCTTTTTAACGCTGCAAGGAATTGTATAATTTTAGAATCTTTTCATACATTTTCTATGAAATCATGATAATCATTAATATTGATTTCATAATTGAAAATTTCATCAAATGCAACCAATTGTTCTTCAGCTGCTCTCCATGGAACCACCACTTCTTCAATCTTCCAATAATCTGCTCCAAATAATTTAGAAATTTTAATTGATTAGTGTCTTTAAATTGCCCCCGTTTTTAAATGTTCGCAATCCACCAATCTTTTCCTCAAATTAATTACAATGCTTTGTATAAGTTTTTCATGAGGAAGTCCCACAAATCAATGATTTTGTATAAAATTTATATTTTTAAAGGTTTCTGAAGTAATTAATTCATCAACCTTTTTTTTTCATATGCACCCTTTTCCTCTATAAACATTTCAAATGATCTAATTGATCTTATCACAAGTTTTTCAGCCTTTATAATGTCTATGTTTCTTGCTTGCAATGCATTAGAAAGAAGAGCTTTTAAGTTAGGACATCAATCATCAAGGCCAAATCAGTGAGAAAATATGTGTTTTCAAGACGGGCAGCCATACCAGAAAATGATTGATTTGCTTTATTTCCCTAATAATATTTATAATAATAATATTTTAATAATATTTATTATTATTTAATATATTTTATAATAATATAATATTTCCCTAATAATCTAAAACAAAGTTGCAGACGATGGTTTAAACAGTGCCATATAATGATATTTGAAATAATATTTGCAACTGCAGTTTTACATGAATGCAACCCTGTTCCCAAATCTAAACCATTTGTTATTTGTAATTCAATCAGATCTTCTATATATGAAAATGGTCTGCCCGTTTGTACCAGACTATACACTGTAGTAAACATTCTACATGTACTACCCAGATATTTCCAGTCATTTTCTCCAGTCCTTGGAGAAAATGGATTTGAAAACGACAGTCTATAAAAAAGATGTTGCACTGTGACAATAAAAGAATGGCTGATATTTTCATAATTACAATTCATTAATTGAAAAAAAACTTAACATGGAAATACTATTAACAAACTAAGGGAGTTTGTTATTTTGTGCCAATAGTGGCACAGAACTCTTTCCTAACCAAAACTACTTACCTGGACCAACAGTCCCTAATGGAATGCTCTCTATAGCAGAGAGAGAGAAGCCAGGGGAAGCCATCTTTGGACACCTAACCTTTTTAGAATGCAGCTTAAAAATGTACCGAAGCTTTTTACAGCCGTATGCAGATAAATATAGTACAAAAAAAAGATAATAGTACAAAATTATCTAAGAGGTTAGATTAAGAATGGAATTGATAGGCACATTCACAGAGCAATACTGAATTCTTTTTCTGAAATGTATTCCTCAGTTTAAAAACTGGAATATATGAATTCAGTATTGGGCTCTGCTAGTGTAGCTATTCAAGAGGATGTATTATCAAGATTAACAAAAATGATAAAGCAACATATAGATTTAAATTTTAAAACCAGACATATTTTTGTTGGTACCCATATAAATAAAGGGAGTACAATACATATTTAATGTTACACGTGTTACAGTGGCTAGAATTATGTTTGCACAACAGTGGAAAAACAAAGAGATCCCCATAGATGAAAAGGAAATTAAAAAATTACAATGTGCAGAAATGGATAGAGATAAGAGGTAGAAATAAGGCAAAGAATGATCATTGTTATGTATGAATTAAATACAGAGGATTGATAATTATAAACATATTGATATACTGAACAAAATTAGAAATAAGCCAATACAAAGAAATTTGAATATTTTTTCTGTTACACTGCTGTACTTATTACTATTTGTTCCTGCTTTGCTTTTTCCTATTAGGAAAAAGCAAAGCAGAAACGTAAATATCAATATGTAACAGCAGTGTAACAAAACAATTTTCATTTATGAAATATTTTATAATACTTTATAATATAAGTATAATAGAATTACAGAGGTAAGGTAAAGATATATTGTTATGGAATAGATTGGTGATGATGAAATGAACATTATAAAGTAGATTAGGTAAAAATGGTGATTTGCTCGCATAAAATGATATAATATTAGTAAAGTCTAGTAAGTAATTAATAATAGTAATAATATAAATATATATAGTGGAATTATGATATAAGGATTAATGCAAATTAATCCATAATTTTTTTTATCTATGGATTTTGCTTTTATGAACGATAAAAACAGTAGACCTACTGAAAACCTGCATGCATACATAAATGGAAACAAAACATTACATTGTTGTTATATATTTATACTTGTTTCTGCTTTGTTTTTTCCTAATAGGAAAAAGCAAAGGAGAAAGAAACATCAAGATGAATAGTAAAATAATTTTTATGTATGTATGTATTTATTTTTTTAGTATCTGTTTTGTTTTTATGATTAATAAAAGCAAAAACAGATACTAAAATAAATAAATACATAAATAAAAAACCAACTTACCAAAAATGAGTAATGGGATGTAATCCATCAGGGTGGGATTCTACAGGCAACTTGGCTAGCTAGCTACGCCAGGGTCCTCCTCAGTCTTCAAGCTTGCTGCGGCAAGGATGGCTGTCCCGGGAGTTGGCACTCGACCAGGCTGGCAGCACCAGCGGTGATAGGAGAAGGTAGGTGACTGGCAGGCTTGCTGCTTTGCCTCCTCACTCACCAATCAGTGATGGGAAGGCAAGGCAGCAACCCTTGGGCCGCGGCAGGCAAGGGAAGGTGGTGTCGGCCCAGCCAAGATGGCCACCGGGTGGGCAAAGCAGCGGTGGCCGGCCCGGGAGTCTGCACTTGACCGGGGCTAGCAGCGATGGCAGCAGGAGGAGGTAGGAGACTGGTGGGGCTTGCTGCTTTTCCTCCTCACTCACCAAACAGTAGTGGGAAGGCAAGGCAGCAACAATGTGGGCAAGGAAAGATGGTGGCGGGCGAGGCAGGGAGCATCGGCAAGAGCAGTGGGCGTCCTGGGAGTCGGCACGACCGGGACTGGTGGTGGCAGGTAGGTGACTGGGTTGGAGGTCGTACTTATCAATCCGTGTCTTCGGAGGCCAAGGTAGGCTGTCCAGCTGAATGAGGACAGCTAGTGGCAGCAGTGGCCAGGGCTTGTGTCTTCTTTAATGGCAGCCACTGTGGGAGGCAGTCCAGGCAAGGCAGGCAGGCAGGCAGGCCTGGGAGGCAGGCCAGCTGGGTGAGAGTGGTTAGCGGCAGTGGTGACCGGGCCCTGCGGCTTGCCTTCACTCACCCAGCAGGGAGGCAGAAGGCAGGCAGCAATGGCTGGCTGGCTGGCTGGCTGCCTCGACTGCTGCTGCTGCTGCTACTGCTGCTGGTGTGAGCAATGGTGCCGGTCAGGAAAATTTTTGTAGGTGGCGCACATGTGTTATAAGTAGGGGCAGGCCAGGGCAGGTGGGGGAGAAGGCAGCCAGCTATTATCACGCATGTGCGCGATGTTGCGCATGCGCAATAATAACTGACTGGGCTGGGAACTGCGGAGGGGGGCTGATGACAGGGGAGAATGCCATCCCTGATTGTTACGCATGCGCACAATGTCGCACATGCACAATAACAAATAACTGGGTCGTGAAGGGAGGGGCGGGTGGGGGAGAATGAGGCAAGGATTGTTGCACATGTGTGAAAAATGACATGCATGCACAGTAAAAATGGTTTTTGGAGCGTAGGAGCGGCAGAGAGGGATGGGGCCAGCCAGGGTTCTGTTTTACTGGTTCTTAGAACTACCGGTGATGTTAACAACTGGTACTATAGAAAGGGTGTGAACCGGTAAAATCCCACCCTGATGGATTACATCCCAGAGTTTTAAAGGAGCTGGCAGATGTCATCTCAGAACCACTGCACCGTCTTTCAAAAATCCGGGAGCACCGGGAAATTACTAGAGGACTGGAGAAGAGCTGATGTGGTTCCCATCTTCAAAAAAGGGGAGGGGAAAAACAGACCCAGGAAACTATAGACCAATCAGCCTAAAATCAATACCCAGGAAGATACTGGAAAAGATAATAAAAAAATAGATCTGCCAACATCTAGAAACAAGTAAAGTAATAACTAGCAGTCAGCACAGGTTTGTTAAAAATAGATCATACCAAACCAATTTTTATTTCATTCTTCAACGTAGTGACTAAATTAGTAGACCAGCAAAATACTGTGGACATAATATACTTAGATTTCAGCAAAGCATTTGACAAAGTAGACTCCAACCTACTTCTTAGTAAGCTAGAAAAAAGTGGAATACATAGCACCACCACTAGATGGACTCGCAACTGGCTGACAAACCATACTCAATGAGTAGTCCTTAATGGGTCTAAGTCTACATGTAGGAAAGTAAGCAGTGGGTGCCACAAGGTTCTGTCTTAGGCCCAGTACTCTTCAATATCTTCATTAATGACTTAGATGAGGGAATAGAAGGGGAAGTTACCAAATTTGCAATGATACTAAGCTGGCAGGACTATCTAGCACCCAAGAAGTTATGCTCAAGATCCAAATATATCTTTTTTTTAAAAGACAAACATAAACAAACACAACATGAAAACATCAAACCATCTTCCATATATGTGCATACAGTGTGTCTATCGGTGTACAAATTGTTTTGTACTTCAACTTCGTAGTCTTCAATTACAATTATATTATATATGTTTTCATATTGTCAATCAAATATTCCTAAATACATTAATATCATTGTTAATCAATCATTTGACAATACTATTATTCATTCATGTTTTACAAGATAATCCATATTTTACTTAGTTTTATGACAGTTTATATTATCATCTCAAATCTATACTATAATGATTTTGTAGATATAATAAAAAATACATCTTTATATATTCATTATGTTCTAAAAATCTGCATATTTCATTACCATGTTTTATTGTCTAACCATTGATAGAATAGACCCCAAATTTTATAAAATCGTTTATCTTCTTGTTCTCTGATTTCAAATGTCAATCTATTCATTTCAGCACATTCCAATATTTTCTTAATAACTTCCTCCTGTGTTGGTATTTTCTCATTTTTCCAGGTTTTAGAAAATACGATCCTAGCTACTGTTAATACATTTACAATCAAATATTTCAATTCTTTACTATATATTTCAGGTAAAATTCCCAATAAAAATATCTCTGGTTTCAAGTCTATATGCTTTTTTGTCATTTTTTTCCAACCATGTGTGGATTTTAGTCCAATATTTTTGGGCATCCGCACAGGTCTACCACATATGGTAATATGAGCCAGGTACCTCATGACATTTCCAACATTTGTTCTTGAACATTCTTGCTATTCTTGTTGTGGGAAAATGCCACCTGTAAAACATCTTATACAAATTTTCTTTATATGCTGTTGACATTGTCATTTTATAATTTTGAGACCACAATTTTTGCCATTTCTCTAGATCAATCCCATATCCAAAATTCTTCCCCCATCATTGTTTCTTTGACTTCTAATAAATATCCATACATTTTTTTTATCACCTTTTCATCAGTACCTCTCAAAATCTTATCTAAACCAGTCAATTTATCATAGAAACTTTCTATTTTAGAATCTTTATCATACCTTGAATGTATTTGTGCATATGAAAACCAATTCATCTTTATACCTTGTTCCTCTAGTTTTTGCATAGATTTAAGTTCACCCTTTTCATTCAATATTTCACCATATCTAATTGTTTGTTCCTTTTGTATATTATAGGATAAGAAAATGCTTCAATAGTCGATAGCCAGACTGGAATTTTCAAATAATATTGCCTTTTAGTCTTCTCCCAGTTTAACCACAGAGACTCCTGTATATAATGTCTTCTAAAATACCCCTGTGTTTTAGTTCCTTTATACCATAAAAAAAGCATGCCACCCCAACAACAAATCATGTCCTTCTAATGTCAACAATCTAGTATTTCTTAATGTTATCCATTCCTTAACCCACATCAAATTTGTAGCTTGTAGCAACTCCCAATTAGGCAAACCAAATCCTCCTCTTATTCTAGCATCTTGCAAAAGTTTTAATTTTATTCTCGCTTTCTTACCCTGCCATATATATTTCAAAACAATTTCATTTAAATCTTCAAAATAATCTTTTCCAAGCCTAACTGGAATTGTTTGGAACAAATATAAAATTCTGGGTAATATATTCATCTTGATTGTTGATATTCTCCCTATTAATGACAGTTGTAAATTTTCCCATTTTGCCAAATCTAGCGCTATCTGCTGCTTAAGTTTAATGTAGTTATTCTCTTTTAGTGTACTACATCTTGCTGTCGAATGTATCCCCAGGTACTTGATCTTATTTGTGACCTGGATTTTCAATACATCCGCCAGTTCTTCCTTTTGTCTTGATAACATATTCTTCGTCAAAATCTTTATTTTGTCTTTATTTATTTTCAAACCAGCCACCTTCCCATATACTTCTATCTTTTCTATCAATTTTAATGCTGTTTCTAGTGGGTCTTCTAAAATGAAAACCAGATCATCTGCGAATGCTTGCAATGTAAATTCTTCCTTTTTAATTTTCATCCCTTTTATATCCTTTTCTTCTCTAATATTTCTGTTTAGCACGTCCAACGTTAACACAAACAACAAAGGTGACAGTGGGCATCCTTGTCTTGTTCCTTTTCTTATATTAATAGAGTCCGTCAATTCTCCCTCTAACATTACCTTTACTGTTTGCTTATGATATATAGCTTCTATTGCTTGGATGAATTTTTTTACCAAAACCCATCTGTTCCAGCTGTAATAACATAAATTGCCAATGCACATTGTCAAATGCTTTCTGTGCATCTAAGAATATCAAAGCCATTTGTTTTTCAGGGTGTGCCTCGTAGTATTCCAAAGTGTCCAAGATTACTCTCATATTTTCTTTAATTTGTCTCTTTGGCAGCAATCCATTTTGATCAGAGTGAATAAAATTATTTAGGTATTTTTTAAGTCTTTCTGCCAATATTGAAGCAAAAATTTTATAACCTGCGTTTAGTAGGGAAATAGGTCTATAGTTCTTGATTTGTAATGGGTCGGGCTCCTCTTTTGAGACAAGTGTAATGTAAGCTTCTGACCACGATTTAGGTATCTTTTTCTTTACATAACTTCATTCATAACTTCTAGCAATGGAAGATTCAACGATTCTTCTAGTGTTTTGTAAAATTCCACCGGAAGTCCATCTGGGCCTGATGCCTTTCCATTGTTTTGCTTCTTAAGTGCTTCAGTTAAGTCCATCATCACTATATTGCTTTCTAACATTGTTTCAATCTCTTTCATTGTCAATATTCTCTTGTGTGTATAGTTTCCCATAATAGTCTCGTATAATTTCCTTCTTCTCTTTACTTCCATAGCAAACTTGGCCTTGATCATCTATTAATTGCAATATTTTCCTTGATTCTTTCTCCTTTCTCAGTTTATATGCTAACCATTTACTTGGTTTATTTGCATCTTCAAAATAGTTCTGTTTTGCACCTCTGAAATTTCTGTGCTAATTCTTCTTTTTCCATTAATCCCATTTTATATTTAATTATATCCATTTTTAACTTAATGTCTTTTTTCTGTGGCATTTTCTATAACTCTTTTTCAAGTCCTTTATACTCATCCTCTAATGTCTTAGAGGCTAGTCTTTTCATGGTATTTCTTTTCCTTGTATTGTCTATTATCAAGCCTCTGGCATATGCCTTCATTGTATCCCATACATTCTGCACTGATGTGTCTTCTTTTTCATTTTCTTTAAAGAAAAAAGCCAGTTCTTTCTCCATCCTCTGTATGAATTCTTTTTCTTTTTGTATAGTATTATTTAATGTCCATCTAGATCATCTTCTTTGTCTTTTCCATTTAATTGTCATTGGTTTATGATCTGCCCAAGTACTTGTTTCAATATTTATTTCTTGGATGAACAATTCTGGTGGGAGGGCATAGGTGGCGTCTTAAAGGTCTGAGATTGCTGCCAATATCTTTGCTCCTGGATGGTCCAAATGGATCTAAACCGTCCCGAAGAGACGGTGAATGTAAAGAGTGCATCCTGTCGATCCAGGGATACCGCAAAGTCCCTGGTAGATCCACGAGGAGCTCTTTTTGCCAGCGGCAAAGAGGCAGCCATTAAAGCTGCTGAAGTTGGGACAGCTCCGAAATGAAAGAGAATGGAAAGAGAAAGTGTGCTGGTTTGGTGAAATTTTTTTCTTTACTTTAAGATTTAAAAGGACACACTAAGGAAAAGAAAGAATCTGTAAAATCTCAGACAGAAGTGATTAAGCAGTTATTTTAAACGGGAAGTCAAATTAATTTTTTCTTTCTTTTTTGCTGGACTCTTCATATATGATTTTTTACTTTGAACTGGACTGGTCTTTTTTTTCTACCTTATTTTTTCTTTTTTGTCTCTTCTCCTTTTTGTCTTTATAATATTTTAGGCTAGAGATTCCCTTTTAGCTTTTTTTTTCTAAACCCTTTTTCCTTTTTAATTAATTTTTATAATAATTTGTTTGGAAAAGGAGGGAGAAAGTGAAAACAGAGGAAACTTTGTAACACTGCCAACTAGAGGCTTAGAAATATTGTTTCTCTTTTTTTCTCTCCCGACCAGACAAAGCTGAGAAAGAATTCAGACTTCTTTTCAAGGACTTTGAGCCTGTCCGATAAGATAGAGGGAAGAGCATGGGAGAGTATTATTGCAGGTGCTCTTCTGGGTTTCTATCAGTAGCTAGAGTCTGGTGTTGAAGTATACAGAAA